GCATATTTCAAAGTCTTTAGAAGAATGTATTATAAATGTTCTCATGACAAAAAAATCCAACTTTGTTATGTGATAGGTATATTAACTAGCTTGTCATTCCACAATGTATGCAGGTACTGTAACATCAAACAAAACCCCACAAATATACAGAACCATTATTTTCAATTAAAATAATTTACAAAAATAAACATACTGCTTCATTAAAAAGTTTGTGCCTCACAAATTCTGCTTGATAACCAATTTGAATATATATAGGAATCTTTGTAAAACTACCAACTTCTGAAGCTCTACCTCTGCCAATTTAGAACTTGCAACCTTGTCCTGAAAGAAATTCCAGCTTTGAATAGAAGCATCTATTACAGCAAAAGGTCAATGGCCATAGTACAGATAGTGGAAACAACATCTAGCTAAGTTGGCCAAGTTCCCTGAGCACTAAATAGCTGCCTATGATAATTTTGTTTCTGATGTAGATTGATATTTGGGTGAGAATGTTCTGACCAGAAAACATAAGAATCTGGTCATTTGATAATTGTGTTTCTTAAGTAACATAAATTGCCATCCTTTTTTTTTTTCCAGAAGGAAATTTTACCCCAGTTGATAACATGCTAACTCAAAATGTTCAGTAAAATAGGAGGCTCCAAGAAGCAGCAAAATGCTTGTATTGATTGCATTCACCTACTGCCTCACATTGCATGATATTAGTGGTCAGCAGGGCCACAGTGAAGCTTAGCTCACTCTCATGATCGGATTCAATGGCATTTGAATGAGCATGTTAGGACGATTTCACTCCTCTACCAAGGTTTCCTATTCTCCCCTTTCCTCCCTCTCCTTTCACCACCCATCCTCCAACACACACTGTCAGCACCAGCTTGACAGAGGCTAATGCAGAATGTCAGTCACGGAGGTGGGCCACTCTGAAAAGCGAATGTCCTCCTGTGCAGTGCCACACTCTCAGAACAAGGCACACCCCAGGATGGCAGGGACACAGCTCTGAGTCAAAGGCAAGGAAACAGAAAACTTTCACCATGGGATGTTATATGAACATAATCTAAAGAGCCAGTATTGAGGTGAGCATTTGCCATGGTGGTTTAAGACACCACATGTCAGAGTATATGGGTTCAAGTTCCAGCTCTGGGCTGTATTCTGGCTTTCTGCTAATGAGCACCTGAGGAGGGAGCAGGTGATGGCTCCAGTGGCTGAATTCCTGTAAACCATGTGGGGAATCTGGATTGAGTTCCCACCTTCTGGCTTCAACCTGGACCAGCCTGGATGCTGGGAGCTCTCTGTCTCTGCTTGACTCTCTCTCTCTCTCTCTGTCTGTCTTGTTCTCTTCTCTCTCCCCCTCTCTTTCTGTCCCTCTTTCTGCCTTTCAATTAAATAAACAGTATTTTTAATGCTAGGGCTTAAAATAGTTACATCCTTCAAAATCTGTTCTCAAGAGAAGTTAGAGCAATTAATCAAAGCAAGCGATAAGCATAAGATTTGCCCGAACTGCACCAATCTGCCAAATCTACACTTGGTTAAGGCTCTCTTTTAAAATAATGCAGAGGGTCAGTCATGGAGGTGCACCACTCTGAAAAGTGAATATTCTTCCTCCTGTGCAGAGCCACACCCTCAGGACAGGGCACACCCCACGATGGCAGGGAGACAGCTCTGAGTTTAAGGCAAGGAAACAGAAACCAGAGAAAACCTACAACATGGGATATAATGTAAAAGTACTGTAAAAATTAGCATTGAAAATAGTTATTATTTAAAAAGCCATCCTCACCAGAGTTTATACAAGTTATTTAGAGAGAGCCACAAGCATAAAATTTACCTGTGTTGAGTTCCCAGCTCCAGTCTTCAGGCTTGCCCAGCCCTGGCCTTTGTGGGCATTTGAGAAGTGAGCCAGCCAATTGGATATCCCTCTCTAGCTCTGTCTTTCTTTCTCTCTAGCTCTGTATTTCTCTCTCTCTCTCTCTCTCTCTCTCTCTCTCTCTGTGTGTGTGTGTGTGTGTGTGTGTGTCTCACCGTGAATGCCTGTCACATTTTAAAAAGGAAATCCCTCCCCATCTTAAAACACGGTGTTTTGGATGTCAATCTCCAATACTGTTGAACTCCGTCATTGTAAAATCACCATTTGGAACGGGATGGACTTATTTGTATTTCTCAATCTGGGACACCAAAACAACAGAGAATCCTCTGCATTTCTAATGCCCTCAGGTTGCCAGGAACTGCTGTCCTCCCTAAAGAGAAGATATGGTTTCTTTTCTGACCTCACAAATGGGCACAGTCACCTCACAATCCTGGAACTCTGCCGAACCCCAGGCAACCGACAGTGACAACCTCTTGGGTGAAAAGATCACAATACCACTCTGTGACCTGGTGGTGTTTCACTCAACTCTTTCCCCAAGTAAAGCTTACATGCTGTCAATAATGCCAGTGCAAGACAACTAGTACAACCAGGACACACCTGGTTGCATCAAGCTGAGACTAGCTCCTCAGCCCCTGCTCTGGTCAACAAGGGATTGAAAACATCTTTTCTTCCTGTCACATCATTTTATATTAAATGCCACTTTGCACAGTATGGTGTCATTGGAATTAAAGCTCACCAAAAAGACACAGAATGACTGGCAGCCTATACTCCATCCTTTCCCAGAAGTAGGACAGGGTGGGGAAAGGAGAGGAGAGCTGATGAGACAAGTGGAGAGGGATAGAGGTGAATGGGCACTAGTCCGGTCCATTCCTGCCTCACTATGGCAGGTTAATCAGTAAACCTTATTTTTACCCTGACTATAAAAGTCACTTAGCACCTCTAGTTTAACATGGTTTAATTTAATCTGAATTTTTTTTTCAGATGATCAAGCTACATATCTGAGTTAGGGAGCAAGTTTGTACTCATTGTCTCTATTTTCCCAGTTTCATGGAAGATTTATTCATTTTAAGGAGAAAAATTTTAATTGGGCTCTGAAGGTTTATCTGTTTTAAAATCCAATTTTATGCAAAATATATATAGATACATACATAGTAAAAGTATGTGAAGGAGTATCCATACCATTTCCATTTTCTGCACTTTTCACCAGTTGTCGAAGTCTCCACAGGTTTTTGTGTCTGTTTTTTTGCAGCTCTTCAATTTTATTCTGTACCTTCTGTCACATCCACTGCCATGTCTTCCATTATTATCTACCATGTCATAGCTCTCCAACCCTCCCCTGAGGGTTTGATCAATACATTTAAATGACAATAGGGACGCTAGCATTTGTGGTGCATTGGTTTAATCCATGGCTTCTGTCATCTGCATCTATATTGGAGGGCCAGTTTGAATACCAGCTGTTCCACCTACATTCCATCCATCTGTTATGGTGCCTCAGAAAACAGTGGAAAATGGCTCAAATGCTCAGGTGCCTGTCACCCATGCAGAAGACCCAGATGAATTTCTAGGCTTTTGGCCATTTTGAGAGATAACCACAGATGGAATATCTGTCGCCTCACCTTTCCTCTCTCTATTCCCTCTTTCTGGCCATTCCACCTTTCAAATATAGAAATGTTTAAAAATTGCAGTAGACATCTCTGCTAAATGACATTTACTTTAGTTTATACAGATTTATTTATCTATTTATTTAAAACAAACTCAATTATTTTAAACAGATTTATCTTCCCCCTTCCCAAATTATTTTCTCTTGCTTAACAATAAAAGCATAAAAAATCCTGTCCCTTTGTCACTCACCCAACCCTTCATACTAGTGTCACATCAGCTCCCACATGATGCAATAGGTCCACCATCTCTAACAATTTCAAACCAACCAATTCTCTGTCCTGTTTACTACAAATGTAATTAATGTACATATGGAGAATTGGGCTAAAACCAGATCATAACAGGACAGAGGGTTCATCTTAACAGAGGGTTAATCTTTTTCCAGATTCATATACAAAGCAATATCCCAAACCAATTAGGGATGCATTGTAGAAGTTGGTGACATTATTCCTAAAGAAACAGTTTGTCCTTTGAAAAGAAAGAAAACCCTATTTCTCTGAGAACTTCTTTTTTTAAAAATTGATTTGTTTTTATTTGAAAAGCAGATTCATAAAGAGAAGAGACACAGAGAGGGAGAGCCTCTATTCACTGGCTCACTCCCCAAATGGCCTAAATGGCTGGACTTGAGCTAATGAACCAAGGAGCTTCATCTGGGTTTCCCCTGTGGGTGTAGTGACCCAAGGACCTGAATCGTCCTCCACTGCTTTTCCAGACCATGAGCAGGGAGCTGGGTGGGAAGTGGAGCAGCCTGGACTAGAACCAGCACACATATGGGATGCCAGCCCCAACAAATGGTGTATTGTTCTATTGAGTCAGGGTGCCAGAATCTGAGAACTTTTTAAATAGTTGTCTAATATAAATGACAGAACGCTACACAGTGGTCACTTAAATGTTAAGCTTTATTAGCATTATTATTTATTAAATGACACTGAAATGTGGCAGAATGACCCCACAAAACAAAGTTCAGCCAACAAACTATCAATCCTGCATTTTAGGTACTTAAAGCCCCTCATTTTCTTGATTAACTGCTATATGCCAGAACATTGTCAATACCTTGCACATATTATCTCATTTAGCACTCACAATAGTCTTTATGATAAGTCTTTATCATTCATCTACCATTTCAAAAAGGAAACCTCGCTCCATTTTTCTTTTACTAAATATTTTTTCCCTCACAGTTTTTGCTGTAATCAATTGCCTACTTCATTCTCAATACTTCCATCTTGCAAAAATTTCCTAATGGTCAATATTCATTTTAGATAGTGAGAGTAGATGAATTGAAAGTAAAAACAACTAAAGATTCACTCATTATTCTTTCACCCAAAGATAGCTACTATTACCTATTCTGTGTTTATAATTCCAGAGATTCTAGTACCTTTTAAACATGTTTTGTTATTCTCAAAACATGAGAACAATGTTATCTGGCCTACCTTTCTCACTTAGTAATGCAAGATGAATATCTTTCCTGGTAGTACAGATTTTCATCAGCATATTTTCCATAGCCTACTCTGTGAACATTCCTTAACTTATGCGACCAATCCAGTGTGCTAGACATTTATGTAGTTTCCAATTTTTACCAGCTGAGACAGGGCAGGGATGAACAACCTTATACACATCATCTTTGGTCAATTACTTGATCACTTCTCAAGATGAGGTGTTTACATATTCTAAGGTTTATGATATGTAGTATCAAATAGTCACCACCAGGGTTTCAGAAGGCTCATTTAGCCACACCTTCGTTGACACTGTAGGGTGTTAAAGGCAAGGTGGGAGTTTTTAGATGGCTCCCAATTATTTTCTGGTCAAAAATTTTTGGCTGCTTGTATTCAATCGGATAATAGTCAAACAGCTCTCCCAAACTGGTTTTCTCCATTTTTCCAAAGCACTTATTCCTACTGCTCACATTCTTTGCTCTAAGCTGTCATAGAAAGATTTCTATGTCAATGCTTTTCTCACACCATTGCTCCCTTATTCCTGTCTCATGGAACACCCACCCAACCTGCCACCTTCTGAGCTCATGTACAGTGGCTGCCTCCTCCAAGCAGTATGTTCTGCAAAAGCCTATGCCTCCATGTGCTCTGACAGAGCACACTTGACAATAAGTGCATGCTCTAAATTGTCTCAGATTTCTTTCATTTTGTATGTTTCTTACCTCTCCAACTAGATTATAAACCAAAAGACTAAGGCGAGTTTCTTCTTTCATTCTTTTTGTCACTAGAGCATTAACACACAGCTTTATTAATGATACACAAATGAAATCAACAAAAATGACAGTAGAGGGAGCTTACTTATGACAAATTGATTCACTGTCACTTATGCAGAGGAAATAGTAAAAATATTCCATTCTAGGCTGCGAAGTAAAAAGCAACAAACATGTTTTCATAACAAGTAGTGATACTCATTCATCCAGTAAAACCTGAAGTCCAACTAGGTTAAATGTCAGCACTGATGATATAATATGGTATTCACTATTCCAAACTGACAGCTGAAAGGATTCCTTTACCATATAAACAAGGTGGAGAAAAGGTATAGCTCACAACGTGTGTGGCTTCTAAACTACAAAATCCAGAAGTTATTCCTGACCCTTGGGGAACATACGCTCAGCCAGTTTAGCCATGAATTTTCCAACTCTCACTTTTGCCAAAAAATCATGGTGACTTTCTATTCCCAGAACCTTATCAGCACATACTTGAAATTCTTTCAAAAAGGAAAAAAGTGAACCTTCCTCAAATTGATTCTGAGTAAGCTCATTTTCATCCCATTTAAAGTTGTCAATGACATTCTCAAAGATGATCAGAAGTTTCAAAATAATGTCTTTGTTCTCCTTCTTATTAAAGAGGGAACTCAGTGAAGATGGTACTTGGGCCCTGAATAGGTCTCTAGCCATGGCTGGATTTTCAGCCAGATTCAAAAGGAGTTTCAAAACCTGCAGTCTGGTTTCTTCATTTCCTGCTGAAAATAAACGGAAAAAATCTGAAATGGAATTAGCAAGCATGTGCTGATACTCATTAGTAACAGTCATATTTGTAAGCAGTCTTAGTCCTGCCAGCTGCACAGATGAGTTCAAGCGAGAAGTAACTGTATCATCACACACTTGATTCATGTATATCTTAAGCCTGCGCTGATTTTCAGTATTCACACTCAAGTTATTCAGGACAATTAAAGCCTTTTCCTTCACAATGGGATCACGAGTATTGAGAATCTTTGCAACAATTGGGAGACCACCCAAATCACGAATAATATCTCTGTTAAATGCATAGGCAGCATTATTACCCAAAGCAATTAAAGCTGCTTCAAGAATGTAAGGCTTTTCAGACATCTCAACCAAGCAAAGAACTTTCTGCAGCTCTTGAGGGGACAAAATTGTATCATCTGAATTAGGGGAGGCACGTTTCTGGACAGCGCGACGTGCTCGGGTAGCCCTGGCCCTTGCTCTGGCCCTAGCTCTAGTCCCAGCCTCAGTCCCAATCCGGGCCCAAGGTGGGTACCATACTATGCTCTTGTTTTCATTGCTGTCATCATCGTCGTCAGACCACTCATTGTACCTGATCCCAGTACAGTCCCCAGCATCATCAGCCTCTGCAGACCCACCCTCAGCCATTTTCTCCTTGTTCTGCTTTCTTCCCCGGGTTAGTCTATAAATACAGTAGCAGGCACCAGCTCCAATCACTAGGCCTGCAGTCACCCAACCTACTTTCCTAGCGTAGCCCATGCAATCGTCCCTGACAACTGCAGGGACCAACAAATAGAGTAGTCACTCAGGGTTGGGGTAAAGGGCCGAGGGCCTGGGTGCCGGCCTGTGGAGGGTGAGGGTCTTCTGCCACTTCAAGCTCACAATAGCTGATTCCTGAGGTAGAGACCTAGAGAGGAAGAAAGGAAGCAGGGTTTGAGTTTCTTTTCTGTTTGTATCACCCCATGCAGGAAGGGATGGAAGAACAGCTAATGAATGCTGGGAAAGAAATGTAGATTGTTTGTTGCCAAATCTCTGTTCCCTTCATTTCATCCTCCCTTCAACCCCACCCAACCCACTCTGAACACAAGACTAGGAAAATGCAATGGAGTTTGCAAGCTCTGCGACATCAGTCATCACAATCTAAGGTGTCCCCAGGAGGCAGTACCCTTACAACTAACCTCCTCAAGACAGGCTGCTTGCCCTCCCCTTCCTGGAGGTGTGCCACGCCCAACAATCTCTCCGATCTGCAGAGAGAACACAGCCAGTGAAAACAGAGAGCATGAAGGATTCTGACTGCTCATTTGTTGCTTGACTGAATTACCACCCAGGTCGTCAGGCTTTTGTGCTTTAACATCTCTGCGCCATTCAAAATACAAACATGTTTGCCCCTCCCTAACCTGAAATGGGAGGGATGTCAGGAAAAAAGTAGGATTGGGTGAACCTGTGCAAACAATGACTGATTGCCAACTCCTCCCCCATCCCAGGCAGCCCCCAAGCCCATACCGACCTCTACCGATTTGGGGAAACTTCCTCCCTTTGCTTCAAGTAGTGCCACCTGCTACAGCCGACCTGCAGGATGACAAATCGAAAACACGGGGACTAAGTCCTGTTGAGGAGAGGATTATGAGCAAACTCTTTGATAGGTTTTCCTACTGTCATCCGACCCCCTCCCCGCAGCGCGCGCACACACACACAGACACACACACCCTACACGCCATTTCTCCACAGTCCGCAGGGTGCAAGAAACACACTCACTCAAACCTCAATCTAGATTATTCCCTTCTATAGCTTCTTCCACCCCGATTCCCAGCCCTCTTAGGGTCCCTAGATCTTACCCTCAAATCGACCTTCAACACTCCGGGTTAATTCCTTCCTCTTCTCTTGCCTGACGTTGTGCTGCAACGTACGGAAAGACGGAGTCAGCCGAGAGAGGCTCAGACCCTCTAGACGCAAAGCCAGGTCAGGGAGCCACGGCCACAGGCAGAAAGACGGGACACACAGTAGCTAGTGAGTGTTTGGTGGACGGACCACTCCCTAGGACACGAAACTCTTCCCTAATTCGGAGGCCTGGCTGTCAACGGTTTCCCAGCCCCGTTGCCCCTCTCTAGGATCTGCAGACAACATCACGTTGCACCCCACCGCTCCCGACCCTCAGGTCCAGTGTTTTCCCGCCGCCGCCGTCCCAATGGACTGGGGACAACACCCAGACCACCTTTCCCTTTCCGGATTGCTGGCTTAGGCTCCTAGCAGATTCCCTTCTCCCAATCTCTGGGCTCCTCCCCAAACAACCCTCTCTCTACTCACCGGCTCGCTGCATCGAAAGGAGCTGCGGGCGGGACGTGTGTCTTGGAAAGCGGGCTGGGAGTAGGAGAGACGGCGGAGGCGCCTCCGGACCCGCGACGGTCTCCGCCCTACGCCCTCGGCCGTGCTCTCTTTATGGAATCTCCCAGGCACTGACTTGCAGGAATCCGGGACAATTTCCTTCTTTCTTCCCACTGCCGCAGGCCCGCCCGCCCTCAGGGCAGTAGGGAGCTGGTACTCAGACGGGAACAACGACCAGGACAAGAAGGACTTCTGCACACGTCAGCTCTTGGTCACGTGACAGCTACGTCATCCACCAACTCGGGTCCCCAATTTCCCCTCCCACCAGCAGTGCGGCAGAAGAGGGCCCGCCCCCCTCCATTCCTTCCCCCGTGCTAAGCCTAGTTACTTTTTCTTAGATAATCCCATCGCCCTATAGTTGTGTTTCCCTTCCCCGGATTACCAGAAAGGGACAGCCTCTTCCCCTGGGGTTACTAGCCACTCGCACTTTCTTGCAAAATTGTCTCTCCTTTCCCTGGGATCCTGGGACCGCAGCCTCTCCCTTCAGTATCCCTCCCCTCAGCCATTGATGTTTACCGTTTTCTCCCAACCTAGTCCCAGATTTGAAATGAAGTAGCAATGAGCAAAGGAAACCTAGCCTGAGAGTGTGGTTTTTACTTTCTTACAACTTTTGGGTTATTTTTGTTTTGCCCTCCCCCCCACCTCCAACCAACCTTCTCTTCATGAAGAAAAAAATACTGAAAAGCTAATTTCATTTTAGTAAGAAACAACTGGGGGAGTGATGTTGGATGACGGCCTCCAAAAGTCCCACATAGTCTCACTTGGCTGAGCACGTTAAACACTTCCTTCAAAGCAATCTTAATGTCTTTTGGAGCCTAGCACATATCAGGGTCTTGAGTGAGTCTAAGAAGGTCTTTTGACCATGCCAGACTGCAGAAAAGTGAATTGCAGACTTTCACATGCATTCATTACCAAGGAGCAGGCATCAAGACCTCTGAAGTTAGTAACACAGGAAAGAGTGAACAGAAATAGCAAGTACATAGTCAGAATCTGCAAGATACAAAGGTGTGCACGCTGAGTGATATGCAAAACACATGAAAGATACATTTGGGTTACAATAGATTCTGTATATAACATAGGTGTTAGAGGAACAGTGAGGGCTAGGACACACCTAACTGATTTGACATGATTTGAGGAGCTCCATAACTGCCATCCAATTATGTAACATTTTTCAAGTAAGAAAGGGAAGAAAGTAATTGCATCCCTCACTTTTTAACTAAATTCTACTACTTACAACCAAACAACTTTTAACCAACACTCCATACAGAAAGAGTGTGCTTTTAAAAAATAATCTTTTTCAGAACAAAAGGTCTTCAGTTGGATGTGCCCTAACAGTTTCCATATGAGGTTGTTTTCTGACCATAACTTGCAAAACTTGCAGGCACTATGGGAACAGCTCAAGAGGTGGGGGGAGGATGTTTGGAAACGCACAGACCTCCAGAAAAATTCACTTTGGTGTCACTACTGGGAGACAATATGAGAACATGATTGAAATTTAGTAAACAGAAATCAAGTCAACTGGACAATTCTCTTGAAGGAAAGTCATGTGCAATAAAGGGGCATACTCAAGCATAGGAATATAAGAAAAAGCATGTCAGGAAAGCTTTCAAAGTGCCCACCCAAACACTGTCTAGAAGAGAAGGAGTACCGCTGAGCTGAAAAGAACATTCAGGTTTGCCCGGCAGAAGAGTGCCCATGTATAAGAGCACTTCAAGCTTTTCCACTGAAAGCCATTTCCTAAGGCGGACAAATGCCCTTGCTCTGATCATAAGTTCACTAAGCAACTTTCTGAGGTTGTGGCTTCATTATCTACAGGAAGAAAAAGGGCATTAAGACTAACAAAAAACTGCAGCACCCTGATAGTGGTATTTCTAGGGGTGAATTATTCAGTTGTCACTTCTGTAGAGACTTAGCTTCCCCTGTGACCTACTTAAAGAGAGAGAATGCAGAAACTCATGGGTTTGAGTGTTCAGGACTAAATTCCTATATCTAAATCTCTATGAGTGGGAGTCTTTCTTTGACAGAACCATCTGCTTTCAGTGTGCAAAGTCAAAGTTTAGGTCATGTAAGACTGAGGATAAGACCCCAATATAGATGCAGTCTTGTGAGATTGTGCCAGGAAAGCCAGGTGGCCTTGGCTCGAAGGTCAGCCTTGAGCATCGCAATTTCATAACTGTGCCTTTGTAATGTTCAGTCATTGTGGAAATTACATTAAGACCTGCTGTCCAAAGTGAAAGGCTCCTAGAAATCAACATCTGAAACAATTTCCCTTTCTTTCTGAGAAAAGAAAATAAGTACATTTACAGCTTAAATACTCTATGATTTTCCCAGTGAAAGGCTGGGCATTGTGCCCCTAAGCAGACCAGTCAAAAGCTCCCTCAATAAAATTTGAATTTGGAGCAAAAATAAAACCCTGAAAAATCAGTGGACTTAACAGCATCCTGAAAAGGCTATCAATTCCTCCAACCTAGGAATTCGAGCTGTGCCTGGTCTTTATCCCTTTTTGCATTCACAAGGTTTTATTTCTGTGATTTGCAACCCAACAGCCTAAACTAAGACACAATTAACAAAAATAGAATACAAAAAACAATACATTTTTTTCACAACACAATATTTTATATTTTATTTTTTTCACCCTCCATAATTCCATTAATGTTACCATCTGCCGATCCTTTTTATTTGGGAGTACTTTTTAACTCACACATTACATATGACCTAAGTTGACTTAAATCAAGAAGTTCCTTTTAGCAGTAGCTTCACAGTCTTTTGCAGACTTGGGAATTTTTAACAGGCTGAAATTTGCTTAAGAATTTTTCTTTTTCACTTTGAAGAATGCATGTCAGGCATCTAACATGTCAAATAAATATCAGATTTATTATTTATTGATGGCTGTACAATGAGGAACAAAGCAAGTTTTAAATATTGTTCCTCAGATTCCTTGGTAGGAATTGTGGGTCAAAGGGACAAGTCAAAAGAGTGGAGTTACAATACCCAAGAAATTTAAGAAGCTTTGGAGAGGGAGTGGATCCAAATCCTGAAGCTCTGACAGACCAAGAGAATGGTGGTCAGTAGGGTATACAATGAAATCATGGGAAGAGAGATCAAAGGGGGAAGTACTTTATAACAGTGAGGTGGAGGAGAAGTGTCCCTGAAGGCTGGCTGAGTGTTGTGCAAGGGAATCTGTTTATTGAACCAACTCTACAATACCGAAGCATCTGTCTGTGGCAGGCTTTCCATACTCCTTATTTTATTTATTTATTTATTAATGTATACATCAAAACCATGCCTTGCCTCCCCTACACCATCAGAACGAGGGCAGTTGCAGCAGAGAGGTCTGTGTATCAGGCATCCTGAAGAAAATCGGTCTGTCTAAAATAAAGACATAAAGGGCCTCAAAAAGAACAACAGAAGAGGATAATGCTAAGCCAAATGAGGTAGATATTTACAGAGATGAGTTATATGATATTGGTGTGAATTTAGACCATAAAATGTGGGGAAGACCAGACTTGTGTAAGATTTTCTTGAGCTCTGAATATTGACCAGCCAGAGAGAGTTCTGAGCTGAGTCTCACCTCCTGGAGGGGCCTCCCCAACACTGGGACCCCCTCCCATGGAGGCCTCCAGCTGGGGTGTCACATTTCAAAGGTCTGAGAAAGCGGCTGCCTGCACAGGCTATATTTAGAGTATGACTTGTCCTAGGGGAGACAGGTGGATGACTGGGGACTGACTCTGGCATACTTGGGCCCTGGGTTCTAGGGATTCTTCTGAGGGGCTTGAATGGGTGGTGCAGTGAGGCATGCAGCGAAGAAACGCGACCGCTCAGAACCCTGGGCTTTGGGCTGCCACCTGTGAAGAGAAAGTAGCATGGACATCAGGGGTGTGTGTGCGGCAGGACTCGCAGTCACCCACCCCAAGCCTCATCACCATCTCCATGGATGTGCTGAGCTCTCGCCACTGCCTGGGTGACACAGAGCAAAGAGGATGTGCACTTGGGAGAGTTCACACCCCGTCACAATGGACTGGAAATTCCCTTTATGAAGTCTCCTTTTCATCTGTCAGATAACAGGCAGTTCTCTAACTTCTGAGTGATTTATGGGTTGCATCATGAACCTTCAGAAAATATTTTAAATAAAATCTTTTCAAAGGAAAGTAGACATTTCTGTGAAGTTAGTAATTTGTGAACTTGTCTTCATATGCAAGTTCCATCTGTAGTTGGGAAGCATAAAATCTGTCCTTTTAAGCAAGAGTGGAAGCCATCGAGCAGTCTTCTATTAAGATTTCTGTCATCTGACGCCTAATTCTATGAGTTCAGCCAGGAGGAAGAAAGAGACAACGGTTCACCAATCTCAAACGGTTACGATGAGAACACGGAGTTTCTTACTACAGATTCATATATCCATTATTTACTAAATTGTGTTGAAAGAATTTCAGTTTTGTTTGAAAGAACAAGTTTTTTTAAGTTATTTTATTTTACTTTTAGTGGAAAGGTAGATTTATAGAGAGAAGGAGAGACAGAGAGAAATATCTTCCATCCTCTAGTTCACTCCCCAGGTGGCCTCAACAGCAGGAGCTGAGGTAATCCAAAGCCAGGAGGCAGCATCTTCCTCTGCTTCCATGTGTGCACAAGGTTCCAAGGCTTTGGGCCATACTCAACTGCTCTCCCAGGCAACAAGCAAAGAGCTGGATGGGATGTGGGGTCCTGGAGAATGTAAGGCGAGGATTTAGCCATTAGGCTACTGTATGGTGTCCCAGAACACGTTTTTAAATTTGAATTTTAATATGCTATTTAAAACTGCTATTTCCTGTTCAGCTAGAAGAAAATATTTTCAATATGTTATAAAATAACTACACCAAATTAATGAGGCTTCCTTATGAGGTGGACAATCCTCTTTTTAACATTGCACTTTGTTTTCCAGAAGATATTCTAGCTCTTTTTTTTTTCTCCTGGTGAAAATTGTCTTATTGTTTATCTTAATTACCAAATGCAGCTTGAAAGAATAAAAAGGAAGCACCAAAGAGACCATTAGTATATCAAAAATACTAACAAAACCCTCAGAACTACCTGAACTTCCTTTTCTGCTCCCTGCTCCCCTCGAATTTTGGCGCAGAGAATCTGAAAGGTGCTGAAATTAACGAAGGGGAGTGCAGGAGTGTGAGAGACCAGAAAAGGATGAGAATTCCCCAAGAAGTCTAAGGGGTAAATGCAGGACAAGATGCCGCCCCTCGCTGTAATGAGAAAAAGTCAAGTTCAGTCCCCAGCGACATATGCCCACTTCCAGTTTCTGATATTGTTATAGGGGGAAAGTGGCAGGACCTAGCATGTTGAGGGGAGGTACAGCGCAGAGTGGAGCCTGCCGCACTGCTTGTGGGAGTGGAAATCGGGGGCTAGAGCTCACTGGTGACGTGGTTGTCACGTGACCAAGAGCCGCCTGGAGCAGAAGTCCTGCTTGCTAGTCGCTTCTGTCTGGGTACCAGCCCCCTATTACTCTGCAGGCGTGTGAACGGAGAAGGAAACTAGGTCGGATCGTGCAGGTGGGTGCCAGGGTGGGCGCTGCTGGGCAGGAGGTGGGGGTGGGAGAGGGTCAACAGCCGTGTGGATCCGAGTTCGGGCGGATAGAGGCTGGGTCTCTTTCTCTACTTTCTAAATACTGTCCCCGCCCCCACCTCCACCCTCAGCTCACTCCGAGCTCATGTTAATTACAAGTGTCGGGCTGCGGGTGGGGGGCGAGGGCACACTGAATGGCTGTTACCAGACTCTGAGGAATAAAAGCTTCCCTAATCAGGGCACCACGTCTCAGGTCGGGGTCCGTCCACCAAGTACTCGGTTCCCCCTCCCCCTTGTTGCCCTGTGTGTTTGCAGGTTTGTAGATCTATTCGGTCTGTAGATTGCGGCTGAAGTGTCAACCAGAGAAGGTTGCCTTGGTGGGAAGCTTGCAGGTCGGCATAAAGGTGGGTTTAGTGCGGGACCCTGCTTCAGGCTGGTGGGGGAAGGGGCGCTGGGATCCAGGAGGGCCGGGTCCTAGTCGCCCTCTCCTGGCCCCTTCTTTCTAAACACCCCTCCCATTTCAGTGCAGGGAAAGGGGTGTGGCGGCCTTTGCTGGGGAAATGGCGGACGACAAGCTGGGGCTGGGGAAGCCAGCATTAGCAAAGTGGGGATGGGGGCAGTGAGCAGTCTTGTCAACTCAGGACCTCGGATTCGAATGACAGGTATTGAACCTTCAGTGCTCAGTGCTCATCCATCCCCTACACTTTCAGTTCTCCATTGCTGCTTACCTGTGCTTCCGTTTGTCCTGCCAGCCCCTGTGCACAGATCACTGTGGAGGAAACACAGACACCAGGAGACAAGGACAGGAAGCATCGACTTGAGTTTGGCAAAGGTTGGTGGGACACATTGTAGCTGGAGGTTTGTGGGGATGAAGGGAAAGTCTGTTGATCTTACTGTCACTCCTATGTGTATGGTAGCACAGTCCCATCTATCACCTTTCTCTGGAAACCTGGAACACAAGTGATGGCTCCTGAGGGTAAATGGGAAAGATAGAACAAAACAACTTAATTTGCTAGTAATTCACTTTTATCTAAACTTGCACTCCCCACAAATTCTCCAGCAATCCACATACCCAGGCACCACAAAAGGCCTAATTCTCTTTTTCTGCCCATAGATTTTCCCCAAGAGAACCGAAGAGCCTGGAAGAGGTTGAAGACTTCCATGCTCCAACGTTACACATTCTCAATATTCTTTAGTCAGGTGCACCACGGCCCTTTCCTGTCCTGTCCTGAGGCTGGCATAGTTTTAAACATGGGACGGGCCCGGGAAGTGGGGTGGATGGCTGCAGGACTGATGATTGGGGCTGGTGCCTGCTACTGTGTTTACAAATTGACCATAGGAAGAGATGAAAGTGACAATTCAGAGGAGGAAGAGGAGCAGGAATGGGAGGATGATCAGGATACTGATGAGGAGGACCCCGAGAGTTGGTTTGATTTCACAGCCATGGCTCGGCCTTGGAGTGAGCATGGGCAGTGGAATGAACCTGGGGCCCCAGATGGCACAGAGGACAGACATTCTGGGGGAGGCAAAGCCAACCGAGCACACCCGACAAAACAGAGGCCATTCCCCTATGAACATAAAAATACATGGAGTGCACGAAGCTGTAAAAATGCCAGCGGTGTTGCCCACTGCTCCAAGTGTCCTTTCTTTCAGGCAAAGAGTGGATCCAAGCATTCTGCTTATGCCCTTAGCTACTGCATGAATAGTGCTTTGGGCAACCTCTCAATGGGTGGAAACGCCATCCCCACTCCCATCCTCAGGGAGGAGGAACAGGCTTTGTGGGTGCTGGAAAGCTCCAGTGGCAGTGTGCGAAGTCAGGGCCAGAGAAAGATATCCATGGGTGAAGTGTGTCGGGAGGCTGTGTCCCGTGGCTGCTGCGCGATGCTGCAGCAGGCTGGATTAGATTTGCTAATAAGCATGGCAGTTATTAACGGCATGATTGCCAAGTGCGTTTCAGACTTGGAGTTTCCTTTGATAGCTGAGGGAAGTGGACGTGCAGAGGTTCAGATTTCGAGAGTGCCGCTGCCTTTGTCTGCAAAGCCAGCACTGGTGGGAGAAGTGTTCAGTGTTCAGGCGCTGCTCTCATTCATGTCCGTCTTAGGCAACAGTCCCCACACGGGGCTGCTCCTGCAAAGCCCTGTCCTTTAGATGGCCATCTCAGGCGGGATGGGACTGGATGCATCTGGAACCCTCAGAAGAGCTGCAGTGGGTGCTGCCCCCGGGAAGGCAGCCTCAGCCAGACACCACGCCTTTTGGGCAAGTGCTGCAGTGGCTCCCTGGACCACCACACTCTCACTGGCCGGGCAGGGCCCCTCACAGTGCCTGGACTAACTGCTTGGTTTCTTAGTCTGCAGGCAACCTGCACTGCCAAGTCCCCCCTCTCAGCCCTCTTGGTATGCTAAAGGAAGGGCTCCTTTTGGCTACCAGCTGTGGAGAAGGGACATCCACTTCCAGCAGCAGTGTTCTCCCTGCCTAAGCGGGCTGCTGTGCAGAGACCCCACGTGTCTGTTCACTTGTGCTCAAAGTGCATTTCTGACCGCGTGGCTGAATCAGTTACCTTTCCTATTTCTTCTACCTGAGTGTGCGGATGGGAAACCTGCCCACCGCAAGACTTCCCTTCCCTTCCAGCCACCAAAGTGACCCACCCTCCCCCACCTGCGTCTGCATCTGTGTACCATCAATAAAGTTGTATGCTTTAGCAGAAAACAGTCCTAGCCCTGGTCTTTGAGCTTCCAGTGCACACAAGGAGAAAGACAAAGAGGCATGACAAGCACAGATTCCCTGGCTGCTGTCCCCAACAATGACTTGTTCCCAGGTGCCCACAGGAGGCAGGGGTGGTGTGTAACCCTCCGGAAAAGCCCCACCTGGGGCTGGGAGCTGGGGGCTGTGGGAGGCAAGGTTCTGGTCTGTGGAAGTCAGGTGGAATGCCAAGAGGACTGGGAGGCACACCTCATCCAGCATCTCCACCCACCCCGCCCCCCCGCCCGACCCCTTTCAGGCAGCACAGGGCCTGGTACAGACAAACCCTGCCAGAAAAGTGCTTTTGGGACACAAGCCTACCCTGGAGGATATGTGCCCTTGGCCTCTGTCTGCAAACCCTTAGTGGGGGTGGAGGAGGGAACCTGGGAGCAGTGCACTCTGCCAGGCAGCCAGGCTAGTCAAGGCATACTTGTCCTGGTAAAGCCCGGCATGTGCTCAGCACTTGCAAGGCACAGTTCTGTGAGACAGAACTCCTGACTCCTCTTTCATGCCACAGCAGGCCCCACTCTCTGGCATGGTGATAAGAGTGACCCTTGCGGCTTTTTTTGTGGAGGAGCCTGCTGTCTCTCCAGCCCTCCCGCGGGACCTCACACCTTGCTTGGCTCCTGGTGGGGATGGTAGTGTAGCTGCCAGGGCTCTGTAGGTCCCCAGCTTGGGCATCAAGCCATTGCTTCCCTCCCAGATCCAGGTCTCCACCAGGACAGGAAGAGCCCCTGTGTGCTGAACTCCTCCATGGTCATGTCCAGTCAGCACCACACATTCTGCCATGTCCCCCCCCAACATAGTGAGACCACCCTTGGGCAACCTCACCCTAGCGACTATTCACTCCTCTCTGGAGCCCTCCATGGCCTGCTACCTGACCTGTGGATTTGGGGCACGGCTGCCCCGACTGTAGCCCATTCTAGGTAAGCATACACAGATTTATAGATGGGGAGGTCTTTAGAGGGCTCTTCCAGTCTCCAGGCTGCTTTTATCCCCAGGGCCCTGTGTATTACTCTTCAAGCTCACCACCAAAGCCTCACTTCTACTTGCCACCTGCAGAGTTACACAGCTCTTGCCAGCTCCATCTCGGGCCTTAGCGGTGCAGCTGGCAGTTGGAATGGGGACTGGCTCCTGCCTCTCCTCCAGGAGCCCCTGCTGTTGGTCACATGCAGGTGGTCACCATCCCAGTGGTAGGCAGCCTCTGCTCTGTCCTTGTCCAGGACTAATGCTGTGTGTGTGTGTGTGTGTGTGTGTGTGTGTGTGTGTGTGTGTGTGTGTGTGTGTGTGTTTGTACTTGCATGCGATGTGAGTGGTCTTGCTAGGGGTGGTGGTTTGCTTCCCAATGGGTAAGCCATAAATGCAGCCCCACTGGTAAAGCTCCCCATGCTTGGGTCACCATGTGGCATACCCAGAGATGCCCAGGCACTGTGCCCAGCATGCCATCCCCTGTGGGTTCCTATCCAGAAAATGCCTCTTGTGACTCAGCCTTTTCTGCCAGACCCCTCTATTTGACTTAGGGGATCTCTGATCCACTGGTTGGCCCAAGGCAAGTGGTGTGGTGTTCTTGGGGATGGTCACTGTAGTGCCTGTGAGCAGACCTCTGCCACAGGTACATTTCTCAGGGTCTCTTTATGCCTATAGGGAGCTCATGAAACAGCCTTCCCTAGTTCAAGGTTATAAGAAAAGCACATAGCAGATCTGACTGTAACACACTGTTGACTTACATTGGTGTTTTCACACTGTTCTACAGAAAGATGTCAGTTATTACATGCTCATAGATAATCATAAAGTATTTAAGGAGACAGAAATGCTATCAAGTCCAATTTGATTGTTAGATAATTTATACATATGTTCAACTATCACACTCTACCACTCAAAAATTGTACAAAGCTTAAATAATACTTCTCTGTTTCCTCAGAAGTAATACAATATTTTTTCTAGAGTTGGCTCTTCCATTAACCAATTATTATTGTATGCATATGTTTCTGATCGACTCTATGGACATGCTTTCAAGTATTTTTACTTTACTTTTCTCTAAATACCCAATCAATTATACTAATTTCAATTATTGTAGAACCCCTTCTTTGTATTTTGGTTGAGACTGCATTACCTTTACGGATTAAAATTATAGTTGGCATCCTCAGAATTTTCCTAGGTAGGCATAATAGTTCAGACAATTTTTTTTGTTTTATTTATTTATTCACTTATTGGCCACTGTGGCGTTTTCTTCACCACGTCGTTTCCTATTTCTTTTTGGGGTTTTTCCAAGCATTTATCTGTTTTTGTTTGTTGATGCGATCTTTAGGTGGAGATCTGGGGAAAGACCATTGGTAGAATAATCAGTCCAAATGCCTTGTCCTTTCCCTCATGGTGACTGTGTGAGAGTTACATGGAAAATCATGTGTTTATCCACTTTTTTCACTCACTGCTGTTGTCAAAACAGAAAAAAACAGATAGATCCACTGTGGTTCCACATGGAATAAGGACAGGGGAGTCAAAGTAGTATAGCATTATAGGATGGAGAACTGTACTCTTCTGTCTACTTCCCTCCCCTTTCCCCTGTTCACCTAGCAATGGAGTAGTCCAACTAGTTCTGCTGGTTTATTCAAATATGTTTCTTTCATTGCTGGCAAGGTCATCACTAAGTGTGGCCATCAGTATTCCGTTGTTCTTTATTCTTGGATTTCAGGATATGAGATGATCTTGAAGGAAGGGAAAGGCAATTTGATGGCTCAAGTTATCACCGCAAATACGCACTCTTAAATAACTGTATGAAGCAACCCATCTTTGAATAAATATTCACATCTCACAAAAACCAATTACTAACTTGTAAATATATATCTAGGGCTCTCTGCGTTTTCTTTTATTCAGGTTTTTAAATTGGGTAGTTGATGAAATTGACTTCTTCTTTTACTGGGGAGTATGTGTAATGACATGTTTGTAATATTGTGACCAGTCTTTTCTCTCATCATTTTTTTAGTTTACCATTTAAGCTGTCTCATATTGGATCTAGTACTTTTTCTAGTATGTGAGTGTGAGCATTAAAAAGAAAAGTGATGCAGCCTGTGAATGTCTCAAGAACTTCTCTGTTTGCGTTTAATACTTTCATCCCTATAGGAGTTCAGTCTGAGTTTGAAGAAGAGATGAGGTTGGCTGTTTTCTCTCCCTCTCCTCTCAATAAATTTCCTCTGTACTGAATGTTTTCTTCATGACCTGAATTCTTACTGCTCATGGCTTGTAGGAAAATCTATTATCAGAGTTTTTCAGGCCTGGTTTCAAGTATGTGATGGGAGGATTTGGAGTTTACGAAAACTCCAAATTCATGGCTATAAATTTTTTAAATCAACTTTGAGAACTCTAGCCTTTTGGATCAAAGTACAGACAGTACCCTGTTTCTCTTCAGGTGAGGTTATCACTCCAGTAGTTTAATCTTAATGATGAATAATGAGAATGAGCAGTGACAACAGGGGACAACTTAGCAACCAGAACATTGCCTCGCACGTTTGCCTTAGTCCCCAGGGGGACAGAACAAACAGAAATATAGGTGGAATGAGGAAGTTACAAAGCCCACATCACGTACTTCACATAGCACTTTACCCACAAAACTGAAAGAAGGCAGGTCAAACAATTCTTCATATTTCTTCTTAAATTTAGCTGATTAGAGATGAATACAAATACTAATCATTCACAATTCAAAATATAGCAATGGGCATAAATGTAAAATCTCCTTTTAACCCCCACTCTTTGCACAGCTACTCAATTCTCCCCCACCAAATGCAGCTTTATCAGTTTCTCGTTCATCACTACAGAAATATGTGTTTACACCCACACAAATACATACACACCTAACAATATATGAACAACCTTACAAATTCTCAGATGCTACATAAAACATTTGCTTTTATTTCATAGCCAAATAGTATCCTACTGCATGAGTACATTAAAATTATTTCTTCTATCTTCTATTTGTGGATATTTACTGCTTTCTGTTTTCTAATTACAATATGACAAATAATGTTTCAATTACTACCTTACTCATGTTCTTTTTTCTTCCTTTTCTAATTCCATTTAACTGATTTTCACAGATTGTACTATGTTCTTCAGGTTTATCTCTGTTTATGCAATATATTTTTACCTCTATCACCATATTTGTTTAAAATGGTAACTTTTAGCCTTAATTATTAAGGTTAAGGAAATCAACACGTTAGAAAAAACTTTCTCTCCTCACTCTTACCTATATAAGTCTTACTGTACTGGGCTTACTACGATTACATTTTTTTTTTAAAAGATTTATTTATTTTTATTGGAAAGGTGGATATACAGAGAAGAGGAGAGACAGAAAAGAATATCTTCTATCCATTTATTCACTGCCCAAGTGGCCACAATGGATGAAACTGCGCCGATCCAAAGCCAGGAGCCAGGAGCTTCTTCTGGGTCTCCCACACAGGTGCAGAGTCCCAAGGCTTTGGGCCATCCTCCACTGCTTTCCCAGGCCATAGGCAGGAAGCAGGGTTGCCAAGATTAGAACCCGCGCTCATATGGGATCCCAGTGTGTTTGAGGTGAGAACTTTAACCGCTACGCTATCACGCCAGGCCCTATATTTATTCTATAACCATAATCAGTGTATTTGTTTTGCTTTTAGTCCAAAATGCATGTGGATTTCACACCAATTTCTGTAGTGTCTTTCTGTGCTATCCTCCTACAACCTTTAGCATCAACTCTGTGGTTGTCAAAATTTTTTTGCCACATTCTTCCCTGAGGTCTGGTAGCATACACTCATCTCCTTATCTTGTCATCTCTTCCTTGAGCTCTGCTTGTTTGCTTGCTTCATTAAAAGATTCAAATTCATGCAAAATACTGGGTGAAGATTTTGAGGTACTATATAACATTTTTCAGATGAGCTTTCTTCATCTACCATCTCTTTTCCACATGTTTGTTCTCCTTTTTTCATGTTGA